ATCTGCCATTGCGGTCCACGTCTTATAAACCACCGTATACTTTACTGTTCCAGGAATTTAATTACAGCTATAATGATGACATTTTCACGTGCGTACCCGAATTAACGAACATAGACCTGGGACGATACATACATAAGATGAGCTGAAATCCGTGAAAGTATTTTGCATTGAACAACCGTTAACTGCAGCTGAAACTCGGCCAGTGCTGCCATCCCCATTTACAAAACTCTGTGAGAATGGCCAGGGTGCGGGTAAGCACGGGCGACATTAAGCCACAGACCTCATGCCGTATTCATTATGGCAACTGACACCCAATGCCCGCCTCAGTGCGGCAAATGCCAGCACAGCTTAGTTTTGATAGCAACAGGAGATGGCAAATGGATAATTATCGCTATTTTTACAGGATCAAATAAATAGCACCAACAAGCCGACAACACTTCCGAACACCACTGGCTCTCCTCGACGACACTAACAAGTATTAGTGGTTCCAAATAACCCAGCCCGTAAAGTTCAGTCGAGCTCTTTGCTAGAAAACCTGGCTGCGGCAGAAATTCCGAAGCAGTTAATCGTTGGGCAGCAATTTTCCATGCCTCCAGAGCACACGTCGGCCCCTAATCCGGTGCCACATAAAGCGCCGCCGCCACAGCAGAGGTCGGTCGGCCGGCCTGCATTCGGCCGACACGGAACAATGGGCGGCCGGCGGCCGGCGCCGCGCGCGCTAAAGCAGCCACTTCCGGCGCACCGGCCAAGTGCCCCTCCGAGATCGGAGCCGAGAGATTTAGAGCCGGCCTGAGCGGTGCGCCACGAGTGGGAGTTGTACTGGCGACTGCGGAGTACGACCCAGATTACCTCAGTGCGCAGAAGTTGAGATTGAGAACAGACATAAGGGAGCCGAATGGGAGAATGGCGCACAGATTACCAGCCATCAGACTAAGCACTGAACCGGATACCTGTGCCCGTCATTTCTGTGAACTGCCAGACTCCACAAAACCTGCATGCCAGATGGCAAAGAAATGAGAAGCACTCAGAAGATCAATACTGCACTGCACAGCTCTCCAAAAGAGCTTTATTGCGCATTAGAGCTGACAAGAACAAGTGAAATAGAAAATTGGGTTCTCTAGACTATCATTGAATAAGACTAAAAGAAAACACACTCAAGGGAAATAACTTCAGAGTAGTTGGCGTCCGCTTTAAGAAAAAAAGGCTCCAGAATCATCAGAAAGGCGTCACAGGACAATGCAGAAGTTCACACACCCAACAGAACTCGCTCTCTCCTGCACAAAATATCACGCAACCCCTACACAAGAAACGCAGCATGACTCCCAGCTCAGCCAACGCGGAACAGGCGACGCGATTTCCCGAGTATGCACACGCCATTTTAGGTCTGTCGCCCACTGGATGAGACTAATACTTTTTTTTTCTAACCTCTCGTCTAACCAGTCTAGCCTGCCAGGCTTCCCGTTCGCCGTTAAACGACAGCGAGCTGAACATAGGAACTGGCGTGAAACCAGGACATCAGAACCGAACAAAGGAATGGAACAGGAACGGGACACGAGAACAGGACACGGGAGCGGGGCACGGGACGCGGGTACGGGGCACAAGAAAGGACACGGGAATGGGATACTGAAACGGGTCACAGGAACGGACACGGGAAGGGTCACGGGCACAGGACAAAGAACAGGGCAGGAGAATGGAGAAGGAGAACAGGACAAGGAAGCAAAACTCGGTACAGCGCCTTGACCTGGGAACGGTTTCCGGTTCACCGGATGGGGTCTCGCTGAGCACGGTGTAAGGGTGCGCGACCCGGGGACCGGCAGACAGTGCAGGCGACAGCGGGACACGGGACACGCGACAGGACGTCTCGGCGGGAGAGGGGTGGCAGGGGAGGCGGGCCGGAGACCGCTCGCGGCGCGCGATCGATCGTCGATAGAGTGAGTGGGCCGGCGACGGCGGCGTGCGGTCGGCGGAGCCCTCCCCTCCCCTCTGGGTGCCGCCAGCTGCCGGGCGCTGCTGCCACACACAGGTGGTCGCGGCCGGCCCACTCCAGACGGGCGCGCCGGCGGCGGACGGGCACCGCGCTGGAGCCGCCGCCTCCGCCCGCATACAGCCGAGTCCCCCGCCGTGCCAGTCATCGCACAGAGCCCCTCCACGCGACCAACCGACAGGCCCCTCGGGCCCAGCGGCGATTAGGGCGGTTTGCATCCCGCCAGCCTCGTCCGTCGACACGTGCTCAGCGCCGGCGTCCACGGGGAGCCATTTCCATCACGGCGGGTCCCCCGCTCTGTACCTCCTGCCTATTGGACGTGCCCGTGGGGATCGGCACACATACACACAGGGACAAACGTCACCGACACAGCACGGCAGAGCGGACCGAGCCGAGCAGCGGCGGACGGCTGACGGAAGAGACGCCGCAGCATGGAAATAAACGGACCGCAGGATACCAGCCGAACCGATAAGGAGATAAATGAGAATACAATGACGGTGGTATGGGAGGGGGTGCACGATGGAGAAATAATGGAAACGCTGGATGCAGACGCAAAAAGTAGAGTCTGTCTGACTATCCATTCACTGCAAAGCGTATAGACGCAAATCATAGAGTCTGACTATCCGTTCATTGCAAAGCACGGCTTGAATATCACCCACAGCTTGCAGGCTTCATCTTCAAAAGCAACACCGAACCGATTTTCGGCATGTTTTGGCCGAGGCACGGCGATCATACAGAGCACACAAACACACGTGAAAACAGCTCTCCGAGAACGAGCACTATCTTTTACCGTTATGAACCAATTCCGTGTTATGCGGCCGCGCAGATGTGTTGTCGCTGGAGTTTTACGGCCGCGGCCCGTTACAGTTACGGCTGTACATACACCGTTTGTTTATGCCGTGTGCGTCGTGCGCGCGATGTGACGCGAGCAATGCGTATGCGGTGGCATGCTGACGTGCCTGTGGCTAAGCTGTGAACGTGGCTGGCAGGAGGCAACAGGAGGTGGACCCGAAGGAAAAGCGAAATTTCCTTTACACCCGAAAGTCACAGCATCAGTTGACTTGCACCAAGCAAGAGATCCACCTGGACGAAATGAATAGCATATCGTGTTATGTGCTAGCCAAAATAATTTCCTGAACACAAATTTTATGAAAAGTAATATGAAAGCAAAATCATAACAAGTACATCAGCCTTAAAAGTATATCGAGTAGTAGTGGCGGCACCCATCCTTTCGGTTGGCTTATATTGAGTTTTGATTTTGTTCACCGGCCGAGCGTATCAAATGAAAACGGTGAGACCCACATCACCGGCTGAAGCACATTCTCCACCGCTGGGCAGCAGTTTCGATCCGAGTGGAGTACACCCAGCGTTATTTATCGCCAGTTTTGACGCGATGTTGATGATAAGTGACGCTGCTCTAATGCTGTTTACATGGGAAATATCTACCGTACACCAGCGCTCCAATCAATCTCCCTCGGCCAGCGATGTGGAAATATTTGCGGGTAAAGGGCACTGGAGCAGCCCCGTGGACCGACGGTGGGTAACGTTATTAGTGGCGGCCGACTCATAACACGCAGTCGCACATACAACCAACGAGTCATGTGCACAGGCCACTGCTCATAATAAAGCGACCATATCACCGCTAGCATTTGCCATGCACGTCAGCGGGCCACATGATACCCACCATAACCATTCCAACCATATCATACCTGACCACACCTACACTTGATAGCACAGACCATGTTTGTGAGATAGCTGCCGCCTTCTGGAGCATACACGGTTGCCGATACGGTTGCTGCCATTGACGCACGCTACGTAATTCTATGCACCCTCTGTTCCAAGTCCAGATCCCCACATATATCGACAAAAGAATTTCCATAAGGAAGTCAATATCGTCTGATATCGAAAGTAATGATAGTTGCATATTTTCCGCGCCGACTTTGTTCATTTTTATGCATTTGTTATCTCCGTTCAAACAATTTAAATAACCTTGAAATGTCCATGTTGTGGCACTTCGTGCAATCGAGGCTTGATGTTGAGAGTTCAGGTGTAGCGAGTGCAATATACATCCATTGAAATGTGACAGCCGACAGGCGTCATCAATGTCATCAAACATAGCTACCTACTGTTGATCACGTCATATGCATGAATCATGTGTAGATACCGTCATCGTTACCTTTACATCGATCAATACAATCTAGGACCACACTGCAAGTCTACTTCACTGCCGCAGACTTATCCCCTCCCTCCCCCACCAACACAAAAAAATGAATCGGCATTCCGCCTTTGGTAGTTTCTGTGGAGCGCGGCGGGTATATGAGGTACGGTGGGTGCCGATTAGGTAGGTAAATACGGACTGTGGATTATGCACTTGGTCTGTGGCGCTTATATGCCGTGGGAAAATGAATCGGATGCGAATCAAGGAGGAAGATAAAAAAATAGTTTTATGGTGATGTATCATCGGCGAATTAATGGGCTTCATCGTGTTTTCGTTAATGGCGATATAACGAGAAACAGATGGCTAAATAATGATTTAACTGAATCGCTAAATGCTGAGATGTATGAAAATGCCCAGAGGATGATATTGTAACCACATGAGGGTTCGTCATACGCCGAGTCTCCGCCGTACGCTGTGAAAACTGTACTGTGAGTGTAGTTTCACACAGGCCCGCGGTGACCGTGGCATGGCCGAGCCCCACAGCTCGCCCGGCAGCTCAGCGGGCGGCACTCCACGGCGAGTTTCGACAGGAACTTAGCATACGCTGGCTCCGGGACTCATCAGGGACTCTGAGGCACTCTACGCCGGGACTCACCAAGGACTCTGTGGGCGCCGGTTACGGGACTCACCAAGGACTCTATGGCGCCGGTTACGGGACTCACCAGGGACTCTGCGGGCGCCGGTTACGGGACTCGCCAGGAACTTAGCATGTGCCGGCTGTGGAACTCATCAGGGACTCTGAGGCACTCCACGGCGGGACTCACCAGGGACTCGGCGGCACTCCACGGCGGGACTCACCAGGGACTCGGCGGGCGCCGGCTGCTCCTCTCGCAGGTGGGACGGCGTCAGGCCCTTGATGCTCAGTACCTCGGCTGTGCGCAGCAGCGACGGAAGAGCACTGTTGGATACCTGGCAAACACAAGACGCAACAGTTAGAAAGGAAGTGCGTCAGACTATTCCTGCTCCTTCAGAGCGTATTGCCAGGCATACGCGCTGAGCTGTGGCGGAGCAGCGGGATAACAATTATCCACCGTATCAAAAACACACCCGTTTATGCAATATAAGTCGGTTACAATATTGCCAAGAGAGGCACCACCCGAAACACAGCGTCAATGTTTGCAAAGACGCTAATTAACGCCAAACGCTAGGTCGCAGCGCTGCAGGCACGGTAACATAATTACCAGCTCACTTCAAGGGTTGTATTTAACAATAAAGTAAGACAATAGCAGCGGCATACCCCTGGGACACCGTTAATGTAGTTGCAGGTCAGTGCTCTGCGAAGATCGGAATTTCATTGGAAACAAAGGCCAAGAAACAACCAATGAAACAGAACAACGCATTGCCGGGAGCCGTTAACGACACAAATTACATTTTAAAAGTATTGAAAGAAGATTAAATGCACCCAAACGGAGACATCAAGAAGAGAAAGGACAGTTGTGATCGCACAAATCAGAAACTTGTGCTGCAAGAACGAGAGAAATGGAGCAAGACGTGAAAAGAAAACATTTCTAAACAAGAAATTCCGCCCACTGCCCAGCTGTCGGACCGGGGCGGAGGGCGTCGCGAGTGTCCGAATAACGCATCGGTACCAAGAGCCCTCCATTTCGGGTGGTTCCCAGCCACCGTTGTCTGCGCGGCACGATCGTCTGTTGTGTGACGGTGACACAGCCGGCGGGCTATATCATTTCCGGCCGCGCGCACGGCAGCACCGGTGACCTTTTATCGCGAGAGGGAAGCCGTCGGCCGTCTGCCTGCCTCACCAGCGGCCAGCGGCCGCGGCGGCGGCTGGCGGTGGCGGCAAGGGCGGCTCCAGTGAACCAGCGCTCAGTGGGAGGTCATGAGCTGCCGGCATGTCGGCCGACCGGGATATTGCACTGCTGCTCGATCGGAACTTTATTTTCAAGTAAATTACTTTGAGTCCCGACAAGCGCGCCAGCTAATGGATACTTAAAATTCTTTAACACCCAACTGCATTGCATATTCAGAACCGCAGACTTTCTTAGAATGAGCTGGTGGTACTGAGGAATTCGAGGAACGATGGCCGCGCTGATGATATTTGAAAGTGCTCCCACTGCCGCGCTGGTAATTTTCCCAAAAACGATATCGAGAACTTAACTTAACTTATAAGGGCAGTGACGGTGACTTCACGACGGTAGCGGGAGTGCTGCTTGGATGACTGGGCTGACTCGGCCCCCTTCCCCCCCCCCCCACATCTCTGAACTTATCGGAGCAGCCGTCAATATGATGGGTCCGACGCTAGCCCATCCAGCCTCGTTTCAGAGCTCCCAATCACCAGCCATCAGCTCTCAAGGAAAATGAGAAATCGCTGAACCTCAATTTTCCTGATGTACTTTATGTACGGCATTAGGAAGTTTCACCAAGTAAGCTTTATGTACGATGTTAGAAACTTTCAGACACTCCCATACTGAGCATGCATCACAGCAAGAAAGACACGGTCTCGGGTGTTGCTAATATCACGGAAGGCGACAAACACATGTTTTGTTGGATGATAAATGGCACCACAAAGCTGCTTTCTTGTACAGGATACCGCATCGATCCCATCTTGCTAGCATACCAGCTAGATCCGTCCGCAATAATTTCCAGTAGCAGTCAAAAGGCATATATATCCCGTTGTTGGTTGACCTTGTCGGACTCATCACACCTGTCCCCGTACACAGACTCTCCTGCCGGCCGCGTCTCGGCTAGCACCCTCCCCTACCGGCCCTATCCCTGCCTCCACCCTCTCCTGCTGCTTTCCACCCTGCTGTGACAGCCCCGGCCCGTATGGCGGCAGTTTTAATCAGTGTCGCCGCCGGCGGCCGGCAATGGACCGGTCGCCGGTGAGATTGCATACCCGGCCGAACGGGTCACCCGGAGCATTAGCAGTCGGGCCGCGCCGGTCATGCGAGCGGGCCAATATCAGCGGCCGGCCGTGACCGCCGGCAGGGGAACGGCGCCGGTCACCGGGGGACGCGCCGACCCCTATCCCGGCACTGCCCAGCGCCCCGCGGCAGTCATTTATCTGTTACAACCAACGTGATTTCAGGAAAGAGAAAGAGACGCCAGCTTGAGCATTGGCCAGAATCGAAAGCTCTCGGTATGGAAGGAAGTCAAAATAATTCTCGGTAATCACTGGCTTCATTGTGATTGGCTCCATGGTAATAACGTGAGATATTGCAAATGAGATACCAATACGACGATACTGCAACATCGTTGTATACAAAGACTGCAGTTCAGGTAATTCATCGCCGACAGTTGAGAAAGTTCTTGGACTAGTTCGCCATTCAATAGTCATAAGTCGACATCCAGTGATGCTGAGTCAGCCTACACTGTCCTGCTATCCAAAATAAGCTTGTTCGACATTTTCAAAACATTGCTAAGGGAAGAGATCAAACCCCGGCAAGACGAGTAACCGGAACGGAACTACATTGGAAGATGTCTTCATGAACAGTGACGGAAGTTGGAAAGTTCTTGTATGGTTTACAATAGCTTTCGGCAATACAATTCGCTTTGTAAATATTGGCAATTATTTGTTTAGATGACGTGCTCCTACACCATGTCACGATTTATCTACACGCAACAGTGGTGAACATGCGACTAGAAACTGTGCGATGCTTATCTTTCACGTCCGCATTCTGCCACCAGCCAGTGACTGGGTGCTGCCAATGCCGTGATCCGACGGCGGCGCGCCGAACCGGGCGCGTTCCATCCGCCGACTGTCCCGAGGAGCCGAGCGCCGGGCGACGTGCCTGGCCGGCATACCTCCCGGCCGCGCACCCGGTCGTCGCCGCGGCGCCAGCCTCGGCCGGACACGCCAAACACGCACACCGCGCGAGGGGCTAATTCCGTCCGTCCCCACCCGTGGCCGGGCGCTCAGCGGCCGGTGGCCGACTGTCCTGGCGCCGAGCGGCCGTCCAGCGGACGGTCGGTGGTTCCGCCGACCCAGGCGGCGGCGGAGAGGCACTCACCTGCACCTCGCCCTGGTAGATGAACGCCAACAGCGTCTGAATGTCGGCGAACTTGCAGTCGCGCATCACGATCACGGGGTGCTGCTGGCATGGCAGCGTCTGGCGACAAATCGCACAAGCGTGACCCAACAGCCGCGATCACTGACTCATCGAGCGCCTAGTGAAATGAAAGCCGACAGGCCACAATAGCATAATCAATATTCCGCCAAAGCCTGACTCGCTGTGAAAAAGCCCAAATATTGAGCAATGTATCGAGATCCCGACGGTGTTAAATCTCATCGGTACTTTAATACCTATCCCTCTCGACTAATGTACGATGCAGCGAAACCGTATCGTAAAATGAAGGAACACTATCATACGAATTTGGCGTGGGTGCTGGGTACGAAACATTTTTAGTAAAAATCGAACATTGCCTAAAAACAAAGTCAACGGCACAATAACCGCCCCAAACCATATCCCGCAGCTAAACCAATTGCCTACTAAAAACGCAAAACTCGTAAAAACCGTTAGATATCGCCCCGGACGAGCAGTGGCGCGGCACGCCGACTCACCTTGAAGAGCTGTTTGAAGTAGGGACTGCAGGCGGAGAGGACGACCCGGTGCGCGCCGACGGTGCGCCCCTCGGCCGAGAGCGTCACGTCCACCAGCTCCTCACCCAGCAGCTGCTCGTGCAGCGCCGACGAGATCGACGACTGGAAGTTGTTCCAGCGCAGGTTGAACATCTGCTGACCGCCCGAACCCATGTTGGCAGCCCCCGGCCGCTGAAATAACGCAAAACGAGGAGATTTAGAGAAAAAAAATACAAATTGTAAGGAAGCTCAAATGCTTGGTCTCATTAAAAATGTTTGCCAACAGTTTTTGTGGTACTTACTGATGTCAAAAAGGAGTGGGAGCAGCACACCATAACAGCACCATAGAGGTATATAAGAAAGCTCTACCTATCATGACACCATAAACTGGTGTCCAGATAGGTTGATATTTGATAATACTATCAACTGTGACCAGTAGTCATATGATCCAGATCAGCATCAGTAACTTATCTGTCAACTTATAGGTTCACTTCCTTGCATCGGCATTGAGTAAGCTATCTTATCAAAACCATGACATGGCCACCATGCACCCCACAGTGATGAATCAGAAAATGCCCTCTTCAGACATGATAATATGCATCCTGCTAAGGAGCCTCGCAATGCTCAGCTAAAGTATAATCAAAGTCAGAATCCAGCAAGAAACATCCCCGCTCAATATATTACCGAAAACTCAGGAGAGGATCCAGGGGGCTTTGGGGGCTTGGCCCCTAGCCGAAAAAAGTAGTGCCGCCCTCGGGCGCCACAACACGAAGACTGGTGCAACAACTTTAGAATGTTAGCATTCTGCACCCTATGGAACACATACCTAGTCCACCCTTTCCAAGCCAAATAGCGCCCCTACCGAGCCACTTGCGCCCTACTAAGCACTGTAGCCACCCCATCCAAGCTCAACGGCACCCCTCTCAAGCACCTGTCGCCCCTCAACAGACACTGGCACACTATCCCGGCGCCCTGTTGATGACCTTTGCCCACGGCCATCCTATCTAAGCGCAATGGCGTCCCTATAAGGCACCATGCACCCCCCACCCTCCCCCAAAAGATACTGATGCCCTATCCAATATCTTAGCCGCCCCAGCCAAGCCCAAAAGCAACCCTCCAGGATAACCAGTACCCTCTTAATGACCACAAATGCCCCATTCAAGCTTGATGACATCCATCTAAAGCACCCAGTTCCCATTGACACTGAAGCGATGATGAAAACCGCAGTCGCTGCATCCAGGATAGATGGTGCCTCTCAGGCCTTAAAAAAGCAACATCCTACTAAAGACCACAGTCACCCTATCCAAGATCGAGGGCTCCTATCTTATATTTAGAATTCAGCGCCCTACTCAAGCCCACAGGCACCTAATGCATAATGATCAAGATCAATGGTGCCCCTCAAGAGTCATCAATGCCCTACTAGAGACCTCAGTCGCCCCATCCGAGATCGATGGCATAGCTCAAGAGCCAAACAATGCCCTACCTAAGACAACGGTCACCTTATCCAAAAGATCAATTGCACCCTTCCAAAATCATCAGTGTCTGCTGAAGACCCAAGCGACCCTATCCAAGAGCAATAACATCTCCTCTCCTCAGGGGCAGCTGGTGCCCTGTTGAAGACAACAAGGACCCAAATTTGAGAGCAATTGACCCAGCTGGGTGATTTCCTCCTTTTGTAGTGTTCACCCTTTCAAAACTGAAAAAAATGACAAAATAAAGCATAGGAAGAAAGAACACATCCTCCTAAGGTTGAAAAGTGAGACCACATTAATACTTATGATACTTTTTACACAAGCCATTTATAAGTTACACGCAACCACATGTTAAGTAAGGTAAGGTTATCTTACACTGTTATGCTACATAAGGTTACTTCAGGTGAGATAAGCTTTTGTTATTTCTGCTTGTAGAGTACTTGATTTATAGCATAAAATGAGCGTATGAAGTGAACCATTTTCAAGGTTGATAATTATGGTTTGTGTCAATATGGTGTGGCTCTTATTCAATTTTGAGCCTTTGGTGCTAACCAGCAATTTCACCCCTAGCCGATAGCCATCCTCAATGTGGAAGCATCACCCTGCACATGCAACATAGGTAGGTGGATGCGGGCCATAGTCACTAGCATACTTGTAAGTTGTAGGTAGCGTGTTCCTTTTTTGTGACATCGTGTAAATTGTGCCCTTTTCCTGAGGAACCTCTTTGATAGCTACATTGTTTTGGGATCTTTCATAAGATTGCAGATCAGTTTAATGAAAAATGTAATTTTAATGTCAAAAACTGTCTAACAAGTAACAGATGCAGTTTTTCACTCATGAAAAAGTTCACACCATGTCAGCAATCAGCATTCTCTCATGACACCTCCTGGGCGGTGTTTCACGGGCTGCTGCTACCACGCTGCTATCAAATTGTGCGAGCTGACGTCACACTTGCGGCAGTGTTGGAGCAATGGGCCTGTTGATGTTTCCATGGAAACCCAATTTGACACGTGTAAAAGCAGCGTGCTGCTATCACCGGTGAAACAGGGCCCTGGTATTTATCGCTTTGGGTGGATGCTTGTGGACAGGTGCTTTAGACAAGGATGAGATAATCTCAGTAGGTATTTGTTCAGAAAATGTCCAATCTAAAATTGTGGTGCCGTTGATAAAAATATGCAGCATAAGGTTAGGTCAGGTTTGATGATGCTTTTCCCTGGCATCCCAGGAAGATGCCAGAAACCATTGAAGGCTGTAGGTTTGTAGGGTAGGTTGTAGGTTTGTAGGTAAGGTTAGGTCAGGTCAGGTTTGTTTTGGTCTATGCATCTAAGCCATCCCAATCTGGCATCTTCCTTGGACGCCAGGCTTACTAATACTGTAGGTTTTAGGTTTCAGGCTGGTGTTTTAGGTGATAGGTTTTAGGTTGCAGGTTTAGGTTATAGGTTTTATGTTGTAGGTTGTAGGTAAGGTTAAGGGTCTGTTCCCGTCGCTCCTAAAAAAAAAACTTGGATGAGGTTGGATGAGCTTGGAGGAGAGCCATTTCAGAGGAGCCACAGGAACATTTTTGCGAGGAAATCAGCTGTTTGCGGGCTGTAACGGTCGGCGTTTTATGGTGCGCAAACATAAATCTAGAGATAATAATCGCTTTCTAATAACATAACCATAGATAAATAGTGAACATTACTATTAACAGATATCACATCCTCATCGATCATTAAAATTGTTTTCACTTCCCTGAAATCTCATTTATAAACAATTCACATTTGTATTACATGCGCCAAATATGTCTACGCAGAGCCTCCTCTGAAAATCCAACTTTCGTTGGACGCCGGTGAAAACAGGGCGCCGGAGGGCATATTAGTCACGTGATATTTGGAGCTTCTCCCCATTCGTGGGCCTTCTACATCCTAAACGTCACGTGCGAATTTCACGAACCTTGATCAAATCGCCCCAGGCGCCCTGTTTTCACCGTCGTCCCTTTCTTTTGGGATGAGGGAGGAGGCAACTAGTGGTGGTGAGATGTGGAATCAAGATGAGCTTGGATGAGCTTGGAGGAGCGACAGGCACAATTTTTTTTTAAACGAGAGGAGGTTAGAGGAGCTTAGAGGAGGTTAGAGGAACGACAGGAACAGCCCCTAGGTTAGGTTTGGTTTAATTACAAAGCTTCTCTGGGTATAGCACCTCTCCTTAATTGCAAAACACGAGTGTGAACTGTGACGCCTACTTTACGACTACCCATGTTTGGCCAGCATAATCTTGATGTTAGAAACAAGTCTATCAGCACGTCCATAAAGGGAACAATACCGGCACTGGATGAGCATACCGTGATAACCTCATCATAATTTGAATTGTTTTATTTCCATTCCAAGCCCCCCTGGATCAGTCACTGTTGTTGCCTAGCCTTGACAGCACCTCCTGTAGCATACCAATAAATCTGAGAACTAATTCATGTGTTAACTATGAGAATGTCATCGAAAAAGAATGGCAAAGTGAATATCGCAATAAATTAATGACTTACCGCCCCTGGCTCGCGACCACACAACCACCCTTTCCAGCGCAGCAAGGAAATGTAGAGTTGAACGATCCAATTCCAAACGATCCAAACAATCGAGAACGGCTATCGATAAAAAGATATGCACCGGCGAGATTTCACTATAGTGCTGACAATGCATATATCGAAATATAAAACATTTTTTATTTTCAAGTTTTCAAGCTTTGATTGAGTCACCGGCAGGATAAGATCCTTGCAAGTTTTTTTCTGGAAAAACCTTGGATTACCATTGACATGACTCATGCGTCTGCTAAGAGTGGCTGAGGCATCGATACAGTGGCGTTGCCAGGAACACTAAAAAGAGGGTGGGTAAACTCATGGATGAAGTTCAAGGCTCGATAGAAGGCAAACTGCCCGTCAGTTGTCGATGGTTCCGGGCCGCGTATATTAATAATAGGCGAGAAACTGCAACGTAAGTTGAATCATCTTGTTGTAACTGAAGATATGTGAAATGATGTTTGACCCATGCATTAGGTATGGTGGGTGCAAGGGTGGGTGGTAGGGCCGCGCGAGGGTTAGGTGACGCCGACGGTCATTGACCTTAGATGACCCTTGCCGGCTTAGAGGGTTTAGAGGGCTTAGAGGGTGGTTTAACCACTAGCGTCGCCACGAGAGGGGGGCAAAAGTCCCCAATCTTCGATCGGGCGTTTTTTCCTTAACCCGGCAGGCGGTTAAGGGGGGCATTCCCCCCCCCCCGGCCCTCGTATCTCCGAAACGTCTGGGCGGATCCGTAAAATTTAAAGGCTTCGATAGCCCTGTCAAATTTGTTGAGGGAACTCCAATTTCTTATTTCATTGACCTCGGGGTCACCGATGACGTCACAGGTCAGGTCAAAGATAAAATGTTTAGCCGTTCACGGGTCTTCTAGGGAATGCGCTATAACATTGAGTAAAACGCATTTTGTCGAAAATCAGCCATAGGGCTAGGGCATAAGTTGCCTATTACATAGGTATGTTGCTACTGGATGTCACTGATTGGCCAGGTCAGGTCACAGGTCAGGTCACCAAGGGTCAGCACATGAACCCAACTTTACTAGGGTTGTGCGATGCATGTTTTATGGACAATTTTTCATTTCCAGCTCAATGGTGCTGGTTACCAGAACATCACGTACGGTTTAGGTCACTTTCTGGTGGAGGTCAGCTGTTCAGGTCAATGTCAGGTCAAAGAAGGTCAAAGCTCAAAGTTGATAGTTTGCATGAACATGTGTACCTACATTGTACCAGGGATATAATAAAATTGTTCCAAGTGCATTTTATCTATGAATGTACTTAACTAAAACGCCTCGAAATTTACGATAAGAACAACAACTTAACAGTTCAAAAACTTGCAAATTTCGCTGCCTGCTGAGCTCGGGCTCCGGGCGGTAGTACCCAGTGGGCCAGGGCCTATTTTAACATGTTAACTGGGGTGGCAAAACCCACCCCAGTGGTGCGGTTTTCCACCCCAGTCGTCTTACTTTGCCACCCCAGTGAAAAACAGCCCAAAAGTCCGCCCACATATATTGGCTGCCGACAATCACGGATGCGACACATTCTTGGGGCGCAACTCAGCTTGACAGGGGGAAAAGGGCTCACTGAGGCGCCACCACCACCAATGGGGGTGCCCTCTCACTACTGGGGGTGCCCTGCCGCAAGTGCAGCTGTGGCGCCCTACTTCGATTGGGACACACTACCGGCAATGGGGCGCCCTACCAGCACTTGGGCGCCTACCACGACTGAAGTGTCCTATCAACATTGGGGCGCCCAGACACGATTGGGGCGCCAACCACCTTTGGGCGCCCTATCAGAAATGGGACGCCGTACCACTACTGCGGCGTCGTAACACTACTGTGACGTTCCGCTGGTGCTGGGGCGCCCTAAGTTTCTGGTGCACCCTACCGCCACGAGGCGCCCTACCACCACTGGGGCGCCCAACACTACTTGGGCGCCCTACCACTACTCCGGCGCCCTGTTACAACCGGGGCGCCCTACCATCACTGGGCGCCCTGACACAGCTGGGGCGCCCTATCACAACGGGTGCACCTTACCACAACTGAGGTGCCGTACCACTACTGGGGCGCATTTACTCTAGCAATAAGTCAAGTAACTAACTCGCCCTTACTGCCACTACTGGGGCGCTATGCCACAACTGAGACGCCTTACAACCAGTGGATCGCCCACCGCTGTTTGGGCTCAATGCCGCTACTGGGGCTTCATTACACTACTGAGGGGTGCCCCGTCACGCCTGGGGCGCCCTACCGAGACTGGAGCGCCCTGTCACTACTGGGGCGCCCCTCAGGGACGCCATACCGCTACTGGATTGTCCTACTATTCAGGCGCCTTACCACAACTGAGAAGATATCTCGGTTGAGGTATCAATGGCGCATCGATGACAAATAGCAATATACAAATTACAACACTGGTCAGTGGTCACCAATGCATCTTTCCTACATGCCGGGGTATGTCTTAAGCACAGCACGAGCCGGGCAGTAAAACTATGACCAAGAAACTGTCGGTGTCAAAATGCCATGTTATTTGATAGGCCGGGCAGGAAACAAAAGTTTACTGCCCGAGTTTACTGCCCAGGGCAATGACCTCTAAACTACAGTTTATCGCATTAGTCCAGAGGTATAATTGACAGGGAATGTATAATTGACATCATTATTGCATGATATTTGCCGCGTAAAATTAGAAAACTAACATTTTTTGGTAAATATCTGCTCTGCTTATCAAGGGTTTTGAAATATTTTGTATTGGTTACAAAGCCGAAATTATGGTAAGATATATAGGTACGCCTATTAATCGAAATCCGTTATCGCTTGTTGTCTTATCTTCGTTTGATATGTCCACTGATACCTTGGGCCTAAGTTAATGCGTTTTTATTTGGCAGTTGTAGTCCTTTCCTCGAAACAAACATGTAAAATATGGAAAATATAATGTATTTAACGAACGTTTAGCCATAGGGCATATCAACCAAGTACGATTACATAAATGAAGCAAAGATTCTTGCAAGAGCACTGGGAAAATTCACGTTTAATCACTAGGAATATTATACCTTCTTCTTGTTCTTATGTCGTGGCAAATCATTCAAGTATTATGTTCCTTGGATATCTAATTCAAATTGTTGTGCCATTCTGAGTTGATATTTTCAGACGTGATTCTTTTTGAAGTAAGGTATTTTGATGCATTTTCTTCTATAAATTTCCTTTAAGGCTTTATCCACAGCAGTAGCGCAATCACTGTTAGGAAAATATGGACAAAAGTAAAACAATTGTATAAAAGTGTCACCAAAACCTGTCGAAACTAACCTAGCTATGCGGCATGTAGGAAAAATCTTACTGACCTCAGCCGTACGAAATTATTTGGAAACTCGGCTTGCAAAATTTGACTCCGGCCCTCGTGCTTCGCACTCGGGCCTACGTCAATTTTGCAAACCTCGTTTCCAAATAATTTCGTCGGCCCGGTCAGTAATATATATTCTTGGCATTACAGAGCCATAAGCTCTTCAAAATCTGGAGAGCGTCTCGAGGCAGTGGCGTGGCGAGATATTGGCCGCAAAATTGAATTGTGATGTGGCTTTGAGACTGGCCGCGTGATCAACAGCGGATTTTCAAACGCACGTGCACGCATTGCTTCTGACGAGGGTATTTCCAAGAGAAAAATCTGGCGGGCGGCGGTTTAATCCTCGCCCGTATTGGTGTTTTTCCAGCCGCAGACGTATAGGGGAAGGGGGGGGGGGCGTTAGACCCCCCACCTTGCCGTTTTAACCCTGATTGAGCTAGAGCTTCGCGGAAAAAACGAGCGTGTTGCCCGTGACGAGAGAAAGCCGATGATATCAAATTTTAAGGTCCTAGGTCATCGGTTGACCTTCCATGTCAGATCAATGACCCAAAAGTCGAGAAAATCGGGACCTGTTAGAACGTCGTAAAGGGTGGCTCCTATGGGGTTTTTCGGGGTGCTGATGACGAATATCATGTTAGTTATGATCATAGATGATTCTTCATGCATTTAGGCCAGGTCGGGTCAGGTCAGGTCAGGTCAACCGGTAAGGGTTTTGCCGGGTATTCGTAGTAAGTGGCAACCGCCTCTGACAGCTTCGTAACATGTAGTGAAGGCACCAAAACTACATCGTTAATGTTCAAATGATTGCTAAATTCGAATTCAGCTCCAAAAACTAGCCTAGAAACAAGTAAAACTCCAAAAAGTGAACTGAGGACATCAAAGATCAATGACCTGACCTGACCTTCCAGTGACCTTGACACCCACCCTAATGCTGGCATGGGAGCAACATCATATCACATGCTTGAACGCTTGAAACCACGAAAAGACTGCAAACGCGCGCCTAATGCGAGCCGGCACGCCGAATCGCGATTCCGACCAAACATGGTCTTGAAAAGTAGGTCACTGGTCAAAGGTCATTAGGGTCAGGGTCATAAAATGTTCAGGGTAGGTGTAAAATTGATTATCGTGAGGGTACCAAAAGTTTCGTCGCGATCGGTCGCTTTTTACGCGAGTTATTCGCGAAAAAACGAGAGGGGTCCGTTTGACCCCCCTCCCCTATCCTGGCGACCGGTTAAGTGACCTCGAGTGACGCCGCTGCCTTGGGATGGGAAGGTGTTTTGTTTATCATGGACGGATCGGGGGGGGGGGGGATTTTAGGGCCATCGGCATAAGCAGTAAAAGTTCTCTGACGAAAGGGGGTTGCACCATGCACAGCCGACTTTTGGCTGAATTCTTTCCATGCAGCGCCCGAAAGGGCTATGTTAGAAAAAAACTATGCCAATAAACGCCTCCAGACACTTTCCCGAAACATTAGCCCTTACGTACTACCGTCACAAATAAAAGATTCTGAGACTCGATTGTGTCGCCCCCCCCCCCCCATCGAAATGCTGCGCACATCAGCATTTCGGTGGGAGGGGGGGGGGCGCCCACCGGACAGGGGCGCCACCACTGCCTGGCCACCCCAGTCAAATTGTCTTAACCCGCGCCCGGCTGGGGGTCCTGGATTTCCACGCCCTGCTGGGGGGGGGGGTGTTTGAACACCCCCCCTTGTAACTCGGCTCCTGGGCCACGTAGCGATACGCGGAAGGCGGCGTTCGAAAGAGCGTCAAAAATAATGACGAAATCACTTCGGTCAATTTTTGGTCAGGTCAAAGGTCAGGTCACCAGAGGTCATTGAAGGCAAAATTTCGCCGATTTCCAGGTCGAATGTCGAAAATTTCCAAGAAGCCAACGCATAACTCGAGAACCAATAGAGCTACAGCGCCGCGGAAAAGCGCATTCGATAGCCCTATTAAAGCCCTTTCTGAGTAATGCTC